ACCGGAGCCTTTAACTCGAGAGTCTGACCCACAAGGCAGTGGGGCGTAAATCCAACGCGGTGCCCACCAAGCTGTTGACCCCTGTCGCAAGCATGAATGTGTTAGTGTGGCCTGTAAATATCTTTTTAGTTGGCTTGGACTCAGAGTTTTGTCAGGTCCCTTAGATAAACCGCCTATATTTCACCAACTCGGCCATGACCCCGGGTGTTGGGCTTTTGTCCTCACATTTTAATGGTAAACCACCTCCGCCACACGAGTGCAATAATTAGGACTTCCTCAGCGGAACCTTTTTGAGGCACTTGGTCATATAGGGTTACTTCGCAAGGCTTAAGGATAAGGTAACTATTCGCCGCCCAAGACATTCCCGACTATACCGAATTTGTATGTGCTAGATCCGAATGACCTTTCTGTTATTACTATTCTTCGTTCTATATCTGGTCGAAAAATCACGATAAATGCCTTTTTCGCTCTTTGTTTCGTTACTGTGGAATAGCACCGGAAATTACGCCTAACTTTCGGGTTAATCTTTCACTAACTATGCTCTCTTGGGAACCTCACCTCTTTACATTGTGATTATCAAATGCACTAACTTTCACTCAGTTAAGAAAATAAAATTTAGTCTCGGTGCTATGTGTTGCGGTAAGGATAATCGACACATTTAATCTTGGACTTGTTAGTTATTAGTCGTAATGGATAATGGTCATGATCCTCACTTCGTACGATAAAGTAGTTTTGATTCGGGCGTTTGCGTAACAACACTTCTGGGTTCAACTAAGACAGATGCTCTTAGTGTACACTAATGAAGCGCAGACAATGTTCAAACACCAGCGTGGGACAATCGGAATAGGTATTGANAGAGGAAAATAAAAATCATTAGGAAATCAAGATTTTGCACCGTCGACTTAGTTCAACTATATTAGGCTGCAATAATCGAGATGTGTGCTATGCATATTGTTAGATGGAAATCTTTTGTGTATGTGCGTTGTTTGTTGAAAGGTAATTTCTGTCAAGTTTTATCGCTGGAGTCCTAAGGATTGGCCTAATTAATGAATCTTTTTATTGTACAGATTAGTTTAATAAACACTAATCAACACAGTCAGTGGCGATTCTCGAGAACATGGCGGGTTTCTGTCTTTGCAGACAATCTCTGTCTTCAACAGAGACCACAAAGGTTCGTCGAAGGCGTCTTAACCTGTGTGAATCTAACCCGCAATTCTTAACCGGCTTCAGTGTATACGACAAATCCGTGTTTGAAAATGCTGTCTTTTGTCTGATCTGTGATCTGAACTGCGACGAGACTGCATCTTGACGTGGTGTGATGGATTGTGCACCTCTGTGACCCAACGAGCTACACAGGATGGCTTTTGTCGATTTCATCATGCCTGGAAGGTCAATGGGTAGAGGTCAGAAAACGTCCATTCTGCTGATCCTTCAGGTTGGGGGTTCGACTTGAGTAGGCGTCTCAGTCGGTAAAACATGAGAGAAGTAATTGATCCAATTTAAGGGGCCTTCAATCCGCCTTAACCGCTGCCGCTTGGTCATTGGTGCTAGACGCGACTTCGCTCTTTGCGATTATTTTCCTATTCATCATTATGTTCTATTTTTCGGTAGGAAAAAATAAACATTGTGATGAATTGACATATCTGTCACCTTAACACGCTCTTCTTTTTTTAGTTCTGCATAAACTCCCTGATGTCCGCTATGAATTGGCCCACTGTTTGTGTTGGATCGCCCGTGCCGCGGACGGGGCGCACTATCTTCACAACTGTTGTCAACCAGCCATTGTGCATGGGGATTTGAAACCGGCCAATATGCTACTGTTTAACGCTGGCCTGAATCTGAAGCTGACCGATTTTGGCTCCGCTCGATCACTGGACTCGGGTGAATCTCGTCGCCCGGGCACCCTAATCTATACTGCGCCGGAAATCTCGTGCGTACGTGAAGGTTCGTGTTCGCTTTCTGTCTGATGCAATGCCTAATAAGAAAGCACTTAGTTTGGACGAAAATGAGTCACTAGACCGACGATATCGTATCCGTGACAACAAGCAAACACGAATTTTAGTTGCGTTACTCGGTGCGTGAACAGGACTTTTTTGGTCCATGTTCGGAAATGGCTATCAAATCCGTTTCTTTCCACAGTTCGATACCGTAGTACATCTGTTCCTGCGTTCTACACAAATCGAAACATCGTTTGTTTGTTTTATGAGCAAATCTGTGCTCATAAACTATCAAAGCTGTTCTTTCAGGCTCAGATAATTATCATATTTTGAATTCAATGTCTAGCGGTTTATTATTTCGTCTAGCAATGCTTTATCGCCCTGGCGATTAGACTTGGCTCTCCTCTGACAATTTTTAGTCATTTTGTCCATTCCTATGAACAGATTAGTCACATTGTTGTGTGATGTTCAAACGGGCTCCGGTACGAAACGTTTCGTCACACGGATTTCGACGGCTTCAGGTTTTCATCTAATTTACTGACTGTCCACAACCAGTTCCGATTTTCTTTGCCTAAGGTATTGCACGAATGTCCATCGAGAGTTAACTGTATCACAGGTGGTCTGCATTCTCGTGTGAACTTATTACAGACCTTCCAGGATCCTGGTAATGACGTGGAGTGACTGTAGGTTGGGATGCGGATATATATATATATATATATATATATATATGATTAGGGACGCAAACAGCCAGTCGAAACTCTCAAACAGAACTATATAAGCCCGATCCCGCTGGCTGACGCTTCCTCGAGAGCGCACTGATGATTTTGCCTAGTTTGGCTACAAAACATCTGCGAACAACAGTTCTAGCTCGGAGGACTCACCAATACCAACTACCAGGATTCTCTCTGTCCCAAGGAATACTAAGATTGTTTTCATGAACTTTTTTCCCATCGTTTTCTTTGTTTTATCACAGTGACCACAAATATTTTCCAGCGTTTAGTGTAAACACATATCAATGCAAATAAATATCAACGGCAAAATGTCGTTTATTTCAGTGCGCTCATTAGTTTTCATCATCATTATCATGCCACTGTTTCCGGTTCGTACATCCCCGAATATGTTTTGCGTGAAGCGCTCGCTATGTTTGATAAAAGTGTGATTATTTGCTCATCTCTCCTCCATCTGTCTGTCTGTTGAATCCTTCGTGTGGGATTGATTTTTATAGGTATGGCACTGGAATATACGGAAAAGAGTGATGTCTATTCGTTGGCTATCTCCCTCTGGGAAGTCCTGGCCCGTCAGCGACCGTATGCGAATTCAACGAGAAGGTGCAAATTTTCCATCTTCTGGGATCTATATCGCCGACGTCCGACTCCGTTGCGCGAATGTCCTCCGTTGTTATCCAAACTACTCGAACAGTGAGTGCGATCTTCTTAGCCTGCACGTTCCCGTTGAATGGTCGTTGTCTCATTCCTCTCTTTCCCCCTCTCTGAACCATGTGTTGCCCCTGAGCTTTGAGCCAACATTTTGTTACTCTGGGGTGGGGGGTGGAATACAGTAGAATGAGGCTGCGTAATAAACATCATAGATGGGAAATTTGGGCTGCCGTTTATCGCCGGTGAAATACATTTTTTCTGGTTAAATTCACCGTGAATTTGCCGTGCACTGGTCTCAACCTGTCCAGAAGATCCCACGTTCAGTAGTTCCATTTCTGTAGGCATTCATTTGAACAGACAAGTCGGAAGACAAATACTTCGAGAGGAATCCCTTTCATATAATCTCATCAATCACTTATGTATAGCATTGAACAAGAAAGACAAATGGACTGAATTGAGAAATCTAGTTTGGTTTAAATCGTGATTGGTTACCACCAGGGAAGGCTAAGGGTAAAGGGCGTATGCTTTTGGACACAAGGCGGGTTTGTTGTGAGCGATCGATGATGCATCCAGTATCATCAGTCGGTGTTTGTCACGATGACGTAACCAAACCGAGAACACGTACGCAAGGTGGACCTTCTGACCGCTTTCAACCAAGTGGCGTGCGATAGCCGAAATCGGTCTACGTGATGCAGTCAGGATCTGTGTTGTAGGCTAAGCCATTGATTCACGCACGTACTTGGGGATGTGCTCGGCCATTCTAGATTGCAGTGATCGAGTGGTTCTACCAATGTATGCTTCGTTGCAGCTGCAACAGAAAGATGTAATTGGGAAGCATAGTAGGTTCTCTAAAGCATTTTTGTACGCTGTGTGATAAGCTGCATTGTTGACTCCGCTTTGTATGACAGAGAGATGTGGGTATCCTTTTTAGACACTTGGTGGAAAGTGGCTTGAGTCTGATTTTTTGTCCAATTATGAAAAGGAACGAGCGAATGCGCTATAATTATTCTCCTGTTCATTTAGTGTTGTGTCCTCTATGTATATTTTTCTCACTCTATGGAGCACCGTTCGAATCAAGGCTCTCTTGTGAAAAACTGTTGAAGTGAAGATACTGTCCGGACCAAGTTTTCTTGCGGAAGATAGATCGTTCAATGAAATCGTCACTTTCGTTTTATTAGGACATCAAGAAAAGCTAGCAAATTTTCCTTCTCTTCACAGATGAATTTCAAGTTGCGATGTGCTGCGTTAAAGGCACACAGCAGTATGAGAGCATACAGTTCGGTTTCAGTCAGTTTTACAACCATTAACCATGCACTTTCGTTCGCGGGTTTTGGTTGCGGTCTTTTGGTTGCCCATTTGGATAAAATAGCGAAACAAAGATTGGAATGTCGAAGCAAATTCAAGCGGAAGATGGGGAATATATATAGAGTGTGTTAGGAAAATAACGAGTGGATGCACGAGCGCCACTGTTCGCAACACCCAGCCATATCACTCAGTGTCTCTAACCATCGGTGACCATCATCCCGAGGTCCCCAGCCTAACGGGGCCTATGTGACCTAGTCTCCTGGTTAGGGTTTTAATACAGAGAGCAGAGCATACAGAGGAAATTCCTATGGCAAACCACACGGAGGTCAACAGATGCCATAGAAACGAGGTATTAAGAAATGATGATGTCTCGGGTGCTCACAGTCTGCTGTTTATCTCCAATTTTTGTTCGCTGTTCCGTTCCCATTCCCTATCCAGATCTTAGCACAAAATCAGATCAGTTAGGCTGTAGCGTCCTCGTGGATCCACACGCCACACGTATGTCATTGTTTGAGCAGTGCTCATCGATTGGAATAACTTGTCTAGATTCACTCCCCGTATGCGAAGCTTATTTGGTTTAAATGCTAATTACATGCTGTAAGCTATTCGCATGCGAAGGTTTATTGACTCGAATTGTTTTGACGTCCCATTCACCTTTCCCAGACCAAGCACGGTATGTTCAAGCAATAACACGCTTCACGATCGACATCTGTCCAAGAACTGGGATATTGAGAACAGCTGACGATGATTGATCAATAGACCCGGACTTAGAATCCGTCGAAACGAGTACTCAGTAGCCGTATGGTCTAACGCGAATAGGGAAACTGAACAAATCGCGAGTCTGACTGCGTGCTCATCTACTAGCACACTCCGCATCTTTGTGTTCCTCATTAATCTGAGTTGTCCCGAATACAGTTGATCAGAGTTTGAGAGATTTCATTTTGAAGCAGAAATCAACACCTTAATGAGACTCGAATTCGCATCGGAATTAGGTGGTACTTCGTTACTGATTTATTGGTTAACTTATAGGCCAGAAATATTACCCACTAGTTCTCAATTGGGCCCAAACTCTTTCGCGAAGGGTTTGATCCTGTGAATTTAGCTTTTAGTGTTTTGATTGACCGCAACTCATTTCTCAAAACTATCACACGGTTCATAAATGAGACGCTGCCGACTGTTCTGTTTCTGCTATATGCTCATCTGCGTTTATTCATTTTAGAGGTTGGAATGAAGATCCACTAAAACGACCAACCATGTGCCAAATCTCTGCTGTGTTAGACGGGATTGTTGATTTGATTCCTCAACTGAAACACAGCCTCCAGCCATTGAATATCCCTTCGGAGTTGCCCCAGGATGACGACGACTTGTCCATGGGAAATAAATCGGATGTAGACAATGGGAACTCTGCATTTGTTCACGAGGTTCGTTCGCCTGCTTGACCAAACTCGTTGGTTCCACTTGTGATTAATGTCCCATATTCACATTCATTTCTCAATGCATTTTTGGTGATGGATTGGTATCAAGTTTAAGTTTTTACAATCGTTAACCATGCATATTCGTGCGCCGGTTTTGGTTGCTGTCTTTTGGCCACCCATTTAGATAAAACAGCAAGATGAAGATTGGGATGTTTTGCGCAAATTCAAACGGAAGATGGAGAACTCTAGATCAGACAGGCTTCCAACTTGGAGTAAATCGCTACCGCTATCCTCGCACGAGGATAGGGCTGTTTCAAGAATTAAATCGATCACGAAGTTGAATAGAAACGGAGAGAGAGGGCAACTCTGACGAACGCCACTTTCCGTGGTGAACTCGGGCGAAAAAGTGCCGTAAGCTCGGACTCGGTTTCGGCTATGAGTCTATGAATCTATACGGTGAAAACTCAATAAGTGGAAAGGGCACTCGTATCCACAGGTATTTTCGCCCCGTACTTCGAAATCCTAAAATCTCCTCCGTAACGTCTCGTTCCCATGTAACGTGTGACACACCTTCCAAGTTGTGTTCAGTGTTATAACTGGCTCTCCTAGGAAAATTACTAAGCTTCGCGAACCCCGTTTAAACACTTTTTCCACCGTGAAGATGCAGTGACATAGAATTGGGCATCACCGGGGCAATATTATGCCACTATTTGTTTTTAAGTTAATGAAAGGTAGTAAGTGAATAATCATGTTGCACATCGTGACCCACCGGTTTTCAAAGCACCCACGACATTTGTATGCGTGCGTGTGTATGCATAACTGACCTTACACAGGAATACTAAACAAGTCACTCAAACCACACGGAAATCAAATTGAACCAGGATTGAATTTTAATGCTTACTGTGGGTTGTAGGCTCCTCGTTGTTCGGATTAAGCCTCCCGTTTAGGATCCTCGGGATTAGTCTAACCCATGGTGAGTGAAACTGAACGATGGTGATGATGAGGACACCAAGTGATAGATCGGGCTGTCGCAAATGTTATTGCACTTTGTTCGCCTGTATTCTTCGGCTTTATCTCGAGACCACTGTAAGCTTTTGGTTTTTAATTTTTTCCCCGCCTTGTTCACCACATGAAATGCCGAAAGACCTCAGCCGGAAACTAGCGCAGGGTTTGTAGTTGTAAGATACCTGGCCTTATTCAACGTGTCTCTGATACAGTGAATTATCCTTCTCTGTTTGTTCACTTTCAAGACCAAAACAAAACAGCTTCTCGTGTAAATTTTCGTTCCAGCCATCCCCTTCTGCTTGTACAACGATCGATCAACCAGGTGACTTACCTATTTCGGATCTTCGTTCCGATGAGCAGTTGGAACCGATGCCAATCGAGTGTCTGGTAAGTCCTCTTTAGTGATGTATCTGAATTTTTCTTTTCGATTTTCGGATTACGCATTTAATAGTCAGTTAATGGATGGTGGTGGCGCAGTGGTTTAGTCGCTCTCACCGACGTGCTTTAGGCCCTATGGTCCGGGGATCGATCCCCGAAACCCGACTTTGCTGGTAGGCAGCTCTGCTGTCGTCCGTTTCAATACGACGTTCAGTTCAGTTCGTACAACCATCAATCATTCACTATCGTGCTCCGGTTTTGGTTGCCATCTTTCGGCTGCCCATTTGGATGAACATTAAAAAGACAGGAAAGGTTGAAAGTAGGATCGAAGAGAAAATTGAAAAGAGGAAACAAAGCTAATGATTATTCAAATGGGAATTGTTGTTATTGTTTTCTGTCCCAATTTCACAAAACCGGGAATGGATGATCCTGTCATCGGACCAAGCTAAGTTCCGATGACAGAAAATTGAAAAGTTTAGTGGATTAATGATACAGAGAAATTGAGAAGATGCACGAACCTAAGCCCCGGACTTGGAGTGGCGAACCGCATAAGGCCCCGATAGGTTCAATACCATACATAGCCTATCGGGGCCTTATGTGGTTCACCAGTCCAAATCCCGCGGGGCTTAGGTTGCCGGGTTCCACCACTGAACAGCAGGTTTCGCTCCGTCTGCTGTTCATTACATTTAGGTTTGTAATAAAATACGAATCATGATAAAAGAACGACATCCAATAGGAGTATGATCCGGGAATATTCACCAGGGAAGCAGATTTTCCATTCTAATTTGCTACTACAAAGAAACTTGACGTGTGTTTACAACCAAGTGAAGCGTTTCAGATTAAGGGAAAGTGGTGAGTGCTAGTGAGACCTACAAACGGAAATTGCTCACCCAGACTCCAAATTGCCACCAAACATTTAGGCCTATGCTCAGCCTCCAGTTTTATGGTCATTCGTCTGCTTTCTTCTCTATTTCATGCTGACTGCTTTTTCACACGGACCACCAATTTGTTGTGTTCAACGAAGTGTTTGTTATGCAACTGTTAAACTCAAAGTAAAAGTTTTATTATGGGAAATGCTCACAAGCGGTTGCTTTTCTAGTCCCATAGGGTTTAGCACAAATGGATCGATTTACTGTTTCGTGCACTGCTACAGATATTGAAATTTAAGACTTGTCAAAGCTTCGTCCAGTTTGTGCTTGAAATAATCAATTGTGGGCGCAAAAACAACATGTGGTGGTCGAGAATTCCAAGTAGTGCACATCCTGAGGGCGAATGAATAACACCTGCACTCTAGTCGACATTTTTGGAGCACTAATTTGAATGAATGCTCCCTCAGGTGAGTATTGGGCTACAAGGCTAAGAGTGAAAGACATGGACGATCAGGGTTCTGCATTATTTGATACACCAAGATCAAGTCCCTCGACTTCGGCGATACGGTGTGGAGTACAGCTGCAGTGATTTCTCTCTTTCCACATAAGTCTTCGAATGCAGTTCCTTGATCATTTTGGTGGAGATACTTTGTGGACGTTCCATAATCTTCCGATTACGTCGCAGCTATGTATTCCACGCTTGAATTGCATACTCCATGTGGGGTCGAAGGTAGGCTGATAACAACCGGGGAAACAGCGTAGGTTCAAATTTGCCAAATACTCACTTTACCAAAGCGACATATCTTACAGCGGTGGACGATGCCCTGGAGCAGTCGTACTGGTGGTGACCGGTCCCACCACCTGACGTCATCATCTCGATTCACATGTTTTTGTTTTCAATGCTCAAAATCATATGTTGTCTGGTTCAAAGTTTGTACCTACCCGGTAGTCATTTGTCTGTCATTCCGTTTGATCGACCCGTTTTTAACTCGCACGGGGTATTTCCTCCGCCAACCCGTGTTACGATCCAAATGAGGAATATCGCATAGGTATAGAAAAATGTGACACGATGGCTGTTGCACGTAGTTTCACTGGTGTTGAAAAATGTGAACTATGACGATGTTTAATCAAGCCTCATTTCAAGATTAGGGTTGATGCACAAAACGAGTAGTAGTCCCACGGACTGCACACGCAGGTGATAAAAGATTGACGCCGGTAACATTTTTGGATCGCTATTATGTGACTGACTGATAATCCTGGCCTTCGAACAGCATGGAAAACTGGAGTTCTGCCGTATTTGATACAATGAAATGAAGCATCTTCAAATTCGGCGATAATGATTGGGATATAATCTAAAGATTGCAATCCGTTCACATCCATATGGGAATGCGATCGTTTGACCATCATGGTGGCCATCCTTTGTCGATATGACAGTGTCTGACGATTCCGTTCTAGCCACTGGTTTCAAGCCCAAATGGTATGCTTTCTGTGCGGAAGAATGCTCGCTGGTAGAAAACTCAAACTGCCCGAAGAATCGCTTAAGCAAACCGACACTCTTCACTGCGACGGACACAGTTGATCGAGCAATCTTCGAGAATGATGACACCCTGATCCTTCCCACCTACGGTATGTGGCAGTTATCGATTTCCCAGGAAGTAGAGTTAGAATTTCACATCGCGACACAGTAAGTTTAATTTGGTTCTCGAGAGACCATTGCTGAGCTGCGTTAAGTGGTTCCTGCAGTGCCAGCGAGCCCTCAAGTGATGGCCATTTATTCCAGATCATTCAGTAGATCGTTTTTAAACTTGGGAACGGTCGGGAACCAAACGCAGATTCTTTTGAGTCCCATGGGAAACATTGAAGAGACCAGGTAAAGAATCAGGAACATTGACTGACTTGGTCCGTTGCACGGGAGGGCACCTTGATTCAATCAGGCGAGAGATTTCGAATCCCGTGAATATGAGGCTTGTACATCAGTATTGGATCGTCTGATCGCTCGACTGCTCTCGAGTAGTTCAGTTAACTTATGTACACCGCTTTTTTCACTCCTCTCGATCAAATCAGTAACAGCGGCTTACTTTTGCCGGACTTCAGACTGAAGAGAGTTGCATTTTTCAGTGTTCCCTTGGAAAATTGGCCACAATGGACTCCATCATTTAGAACAACACTGAAAAAAAGAGTTATAGTCAGTAGCACGTTTCCCCCTGTTAGACACGATTGCATAAACATGGCATTACGAATCCGAGACAGTGTGAGAAACAGCTCTCGCCGCTAACCATTTCGCGCACACATGCGTTGTGTTTTTACCAATCCAAACCCCATGTACTTATTCATTGCTTAGCATAACCGTATCTACCACTTGGCAAATGTGGATCGGTTTGCTTTGATTCTTTACTGTTGTAATCCATTTGCGACCTGGTATGCATTGTTTTTTCTCTGTCAAAGTCATCTGATTTTTGCATACTCTCCACGCACCGTAGAATCTCAATTCGTCGGACGAGGCAAGACCGAAACGACCGGGGAAAACTGACGAACCTCTGAGTATTTTGTGCAACTGGGACGGGGAATGAATCATAGACGAAGAAAAAAAAGCAAGAATCAAAGTTCACCCCCCTCCTCGCGCCTGCCCCTTTCCTTGCTTTCGCTAACCCGATGAGCATCGTGCATAATAGACCCTCTGAATTCCCCCCGTTAAAGATGACTTATTCCTTCATTCTGATAGCGCCTTTTGCTAATCTCGATCTGTTCCCATCTTGTTGCATATTGCAAAATGTTCCCGTACCCTTCCAAATAAATACGTGTAAATATGATCGGTCTTTTCCTTGTTCAGTGTATCCGGGATTTAGCTTACTGAGTGAGGTAATTTATAGAAAATCCTTATTTGATGCTGTGAAGTTTGCCGCACATTGAGCTGGATTGATTGTGAAAGTTGTTGGGCATTGAGCGAACGAACGTGATCAGTGTTTCTGCCACTGCGCAACGTTGTCTTTCGTGTGTAGAACAATGTCCGGGCATTCGTGGGTAGATCACAGAACAACTGGATGATAAAAACGCTCTTTGGGAGTTGGGGACGAATCAAGTTGACTTATTTGAAGGCGAGAACAACATTACTGTGTCTAGGTCGAAGCTTTTGATCCCGAATCCGGTGAAAAAACAGGACGTGTTAAATGTGGTCACCTTGGGCCCAGCGGAAACGTCGTTGACAGATTTGAACAGCTGTCGCAACCGTGTATTGTTTAATGCCAGTAGAACTTCCCGTTAGTCTATTTCTCTTAAACACGCATCTTTCGCCCATCCTTGAATCTCAACTGGAATATTCTCCGTTCCACAGAATCATGGAACTTGTTGGGTCCTTCCTTATCTTCTTCTCTTTCATGGTCAACCTATATTTAACTACTTGTTTCCTGCGCTGCGCACAAAATCGACTTCATCTTCTCCCTCGCTTTACAAGACTCACATTCACCCTACACTTGAATACTGCAATCATGTGTGGGGTGGGGCTTCGTTGACCTCTCGCTCTTGAAAGGGTTCAACGTAAGGCTATCCGTGTTATCAACGACCCGTCCCTAACATGCAACTGGCAGTCAATACCTCACCGGGCAAAGAGTTGGATGTGGAGACCATTTACCTAGGATATTGAAAAAGTTTAATCTGACGGATGCTTTCTGTGCAATAAGAAATCTCGAAAGGTGAAACATTTGGATCCCGTAATGAATTTGAACAGGCAAGTCAGAAGACAAACACTGCGAGAGGAATTCCTTTCGTATATTCTCATCGGTCGCGTACGTATAACATCAAACAAGATAGACAAATGAAGCGAATTGGGAAATCTAGTTAGTATTAACCATGTGTGTGTTATAAGTACGCGACCGATGAGAGTATACGAAAGGAATTCCTCTCGCAGTGTTTGTCTTCTGACTTGCCTGTTCAAATCTCGAGTGATTTGGGATAACGGACAAACGGTAGGCAGGGGTACGAGTATACACAAGTTTATAATGAAACCCAGCTACAGAAGTAAGTACACATTTTTTAAGCTCTTTGTCTCATGGATGAGCGATTTCGGATAGAATATTGTTGCAGACGTTTTCGCAAAAGGTAAAATGCCTGTCGGTGATAAAGTTGAGCAAGTGTAAATAGGGAATTTCGCTTACACGTGAAATAATTCTAACAGACCGGCGTAAAATTATGTAATCTTTAACACTGAAACCGCCAAATAAAACTGGGAAGCAGTAAAGAAGATGAGTGACACGAGATTATACCGAACGGGTAAGCGAATACAGTGGATCTTTTAAAGATCGCAAGCGGGAAATAAAGAAACACAGACGTCGAATCTTTTTTAAAAGTAGATTTGAAATGTCCACATGAGATCTTGGCATATATTAACATCGGGGTATTGTAGGGAACGTACTTGGAGAACAAACTGGTTGCAGGCATACGGTACAGATCAATTTCCTTCAAAAGAATTTAGTCGTTTTCCTTTGGCTAGTGAGGTGACGTTCCTACAGTCCTAGAGGCGCTAAAGGATACGAAAGCCATAAGCTTAAGGCAGATAAATTGCTTTGAAGCTATGGGAAACGGAAATCACCTTGGAATTTGGAATCCATTGTGACATCATCAGCTTTCCCCTGATTAGAAGATCATTTAGATCAGTGGGTAGGTCTGGAAACTAGAAAGATAAAAGAGGAGACAGTATTGCTCCTTGGGGCACCTATGAATTCAAGGTCACTGGGCGTGTCGTGAGCATGAATACGGCTTACACTTGTCTGTCAATCACGGTTGCCGTGCTGAGGTTCAAACTCGAGAGGTCTGTTGCACCCGTGTCGAAACCGAGTTGGGTGTGTGAAGTCCATGAGTAGTGTAATACTTTTGTCGATGGAAATCTTTTGGCCTATGCTTGCCCGAGAGGTATACCAACAATCCAGAGTTTGCATGAATTAAAGGCGTTCTTGATTGGGAAGTGGAATAATATTGACAAGGACATGATTTGAAATCGTATACAGAGTAATGAAGTGGCTTCAATTGATAAAGTCTCTTGGGGGAGGGGTGTGTGCAATACTTTCGTTTAGGTGAAAATTCCATTTATTGGACATATTTTCGGTAAAATTAAAGATAATTTTATGAAATTTCCGCTTTTCATTCAGTTATCGTCTAGGTTCTCAGAAATGGTGATGATTGTGCACATGTGGGAGCGGAGCTAACGCAAAAATCTAGGGTGACTGGTGCAACACTTTTACGGTGTACGGTGCATCACGTAAAAATGTTGGTTTTCTCATTTCGTTTACAAGCCTTATTCATTTTTGTTTTTTAATATGACTTCCCAACTGAAGCTTTGCCGTGTGCTAGTTGCATATCTTGCCTGACATCGGGATTGCCTGCTTTTCATATGTAAACTTTGGGTTACGTTATAACAGTGCGTTGAATATGCGGTACGCCGCGTATCGGCTTTACGAACGCGGCCGCACCTGCCTCAAGCTCGCATCTCACTCAATAATTCAGTCACTGCCAATGGCGTTTTGTTATCCGCATACATGCGATTAACTGACTCATCTGTTGGAGTGGCAGAGTAACGCACAGTTCACTCGGTACACCCAATAACTTCATTCATCGCACATCGTTGATCCACAAAATCTAAGCTCATGAACTGGTTGGGTGTATTGACGGTTTTTCACGTGATCATACAAGGCTACCAAATTCCCCCAGTGGTGCCTCACGGATGTATTGGCTTCGTTTCCATTATCGATCGGAATTATCAATGTAAACCAGATCCCCATATCTGAAAAGAAGTAAACCAGTTAGCACAATTGACGGCTAGAATAAATTAAAATTGATTCAATGGGCTCAATGCACCCAAGTTAAATGACCAAAAACGGACGAAAGCATGCAAGTTGTATCTAAGCCCATGTTGAAAACGTAATCCGTAAGTTTGATCACATCAAACAATTCTTTTCAAACATGAAAATTCAAACTCGGTCTATTGGTCTTCTTTCGTAAACTCTACATTTGAGATGGATTGAGTGGAGCAAATTGCGGCCCCATCAAACTGGTACATGCACGAGCGCACAAAAACCGTTCCAGTCACGGATCCGATTTGTGATTTGGGTTTCCCGGGTCATTACATTCTTTCGGAACACGATAACCAGAAGTTAGACAGGACAGAAAAAACCAACATCAACCTTCTTTATTGGTAGGAATATTTTTTGAAGCAAGCCTTTCCCGAGATCAATTTCAAAAGAAAAGACCAAATTGCAATACTGCATGATTTATGTCCAGGACGATTTCGCTGCATCTCAACATGGTGCATACTGCAGAAAAAGCATCAATTATATAGGAGTTTAGCATGGCAACAAAGAAGAGTAAAATACAATGAAACAGACAAACATAAAAGGGGGGAGGGGTAAAAGGACTATCTCACCAGGGTAAGGATAAACGAACATAAAGTTCTTTTTGTTGACACAAGGGGGGTTTCCATCGGCTGATGGTAATCGCTTCTGCAAACCGTAGCAATCTTGCTATTCGTGACTTGTAGATAAAACGAAACGCCGTGCTTCGGTCGATGCGATGTTGCGTCATCAGAAGATATTAAGCTATGGCTGATGACGGAGTTTGAAACATTGGGTCCCCTTTATCCAATTCGTTAGAACCGCTAGAAGACAAATACTGCGAGATGTTAACATTTCTTTTAATCTCTTCAGTCGCTACAACGTAAAACAATCTGGTATTTATACAAGCAGGTTTTGAATAACTACAGTGGTAAAACGGACAATCTTTTTCTTCCTCGAGGGAAACTGAGAGGTTGGGATGAAAAGTATTTAAAAAATGGTAAAATGGTGTTAAAATGCTCAGGGTCGGTAAAAATCAAAATATCATCAACATAACGTTTGTACAAAACAGACATTGAAATATTATCATTCAGTCATTCCAAGAAAAACATCGGCTAGTGTTGGGCCTAAGGGACTGTCCATTGCCACACCGTCAATTTGTCTGTGCGCAGTTCCTTCAAATTAAAAACGTATGTTTTCGGTGCAAACAATGATAAGATCTTTTAAATAATCTAGGGAATAGGAAGATGAATATTCATTGAAGAGATAAAATCACACAAAAAGTCCACTGTTTCATGGAGAGGAACATTTGTAAAAAGTGAATCAACATCAATAGAATACATCTTATGAGAAGATAAATTAAAATTATCTAATAAATTAGCGAGTTCAAAGGAGTCTTTAATACAATGAAGCGTCAGACCTTTACGAATAGGATCCAAAATGTCGACCAACCATCGGGCCACTTTGTGATATGATGAGTTCTGCATGCATAAGATTGGTCTGAGTGGGGTGCCGGCCTTGTGAATTTTGGGTGAGCCTGTCACCTGGGGTGTCTCTGTTCCCAGCGGCTTCAGATTTTTGTATTGAGCTTCGGTGATGTAACCGTGTAATAACAGAATCTGAAGCTTTCGGGTAATCATTTTTTCCGTAAGAGTGTTGTTATCAGGTGTGTTGTCCAATTTGTATTTGCTCCCATCGGACCATATTTGCTTCATTTTTGATTTATAGCTTTTTTTGGTCATAATAACCAC